ACTTCATGCCCTCAAGAGGCATTTTGTTTAATTATTTTGTTTAATTTTTTTATATCTTTCAAGCTACGAGATGTTTTCCTACATTTCTCATGAAAAATGATGTCTCAGGAATGTAAGGTTTGGGAATTAAGGCAGGTTTAAAAGAAAATAGGAAGGCAAAATTAAATCTGTCCTCCACTAGCTGTGACATCACACACTCTAAAATCTGAAGAAGGCCTCTTTACCAAGGTCTGAACAATGTTTAATATCTCTAAAAGTAAGTATCAGATTTAAAAGTTGTGTTACACGAATAATGTCAGAAAGATGTGTAACATTTTAAAGTTGGAATGAGGTTTCTGAGTGAAAGTATGAAGGAGCAGTTAGCAGTTGAAGAAGGAGCAGTTAGCAGTTGAAGTTGCATGAAGATTGTTGAACTCTGAAGAGTTTCTCCATTAACTTCCATGTTAAAAATGTGATGTACTATGGGATGTATATCTGGAATTATGAAAGTTATGAATGATAAAAGTAATAGCCATCAATTCCCGACTGAGCTGAGCGTTTTGATGTTTGAACGGAGTTTCTGCGATGTTCAATGTGGGAGGAGAAGTGGCGCAAAATAACCCAGCGGAATGATAAATAATTTTGTGCGTAGCATAACAGATAGTGGGAATGCTGTCAGCATTCCCACTAAATGATAGGAACATGAGAGTTCATATACTCTTGGTCATGCTGCGACACAATCACACACAGACACACACACTTTTCCCCTAAAAGGAAACTCAAACAAAAGGAAACATTCACATAAAATCCATGTCTCCCCACTAAGAGGCAGAAAGAGCGTTTCATTGTACGTCCTTTACAAATCAATACAATCAGGCTTGTATTCACAGCTATCGGCCTTTGTTGGTGTTGGCGTTCTTGGATCACTTGGCTAAATTGTAGCCCACTTAGCTCTGTCTGCAGTTCACCGGGGCTTCTCTCTGACCCTGTGAACACGGAGGATTGTTGGGGGGAACAAAGGAGGGTGGCGAGTGTGAGAGGAAGTATCGAGAAGAATAGATTAAAAAAAACAGTGGTGGAAACTAAATCTCAACCTGAACACCAGCATCAGTACTGCAAGAGGATGATAATAATCTCTCTCTTAGGTGGTATTCACTAAATCTGAGTACGGTAATGCAAATCTAACCTAAAGTATGTCAGGGTAACACTTTTGTGCAATACAAAGGCCCAGAGGAATGTATAAGATTCAACATGCACACTACATTTATGTTTATCTTTTACTTTAGTTAGAAGAGCCAAGTTTGAATAAAAATAGCTCAAATCAAGGTAAAAAACACATTTCATTAGTCAACTTCAAAATCGAGAGGTCCACATTGTCTTTGCAAGTTAACGGGAGTTTGACATTTAAGGAAATATAAATATTTGCATTTTTTGCCGATAGTTGAGAGATGAGAAGATGTATATCAGTGTCTGAATACCAAATATGAAGCTAAAGCGAACATCCAGTTAGCTTAGCTTAGCATAAAGACTGGATACAGGCTAAACAGCTATTGCATTTTGTAAAATCATACTATTCTGATATTGTGTGGCACCTACACTCGTATACTTAATAATTGATGGTCACTCACTGACATTTCTGCATATTTTATTATTATTCCAAACCAGTCATTACCTATAAAATTCACGATTGAATTAGAATATTGAAATGTGTTACAACTATTAGATTTATAATACTATATGAGACTTGCAAAGAAATGCAATTATGAAGTTTTATAATACTATACTTTATAAGTAATTGTATAATGTTTTACATGGGGCAGATGATTATTATTTTAAAACGTTATGAATATTTATGACAGCTAAAGGCTACTTCTATGTCTTGCATTATAGATTTCAGATACAATAGGTTTGTCATTGTTTTAAATACTGTTGTTGTTGGGTCTCACACACACACACACACACACACACACACACACACACACACACACACACACACACACACACACACACACACACACACACACACACACACACACACACACACACACACACACACACCACACACACACACACACACACACACACACACACACACACACACACACACACACACACACACACACACACACACACACACACACACACACACACACACACACACACACACACACACACACACACACACACACACACACACACACACACACACACACACACACACACACACACACACACACACACGAATGCCCACTGGAGTTTGATTGAACAATGTAATTAGCTGTAATTAGCACTCATTACAATTGTTAAAGATCCCCCCTGTCGTGTCAGGCTGCAGGTGTGTGTCTGACAAAGTCAAACACACACACACCCACACACACATAAACATACAGACACAACCTCGGCAAGACAATGATTGCAACAGCTGTGGCCTCTGTACGTTTGTATTTAATAAATGTTGACAGGGGTTCTGCTTCTGCACCGAATCACAAATGTCTTTGAAAACCGGGGCTATAAATGGTCAATATGACACCTGTTTTATACATCCATCCATCCATTATCTGTAACTGCTTATACAGGGTGGAACAGTGCTTGAGCTGAGTCTAGCTGATCTGTTGCTATCGTGGGCCTATCTTTTTTGAAGGCCTACCTGGAAAGTAAGTATCTGAAGGGCTCCCTTGACAAAAAGTCAACCTTTTTCCTTTGGTTTTGGGAATTTTGTAAAACATAAGATCTGTTAAGCAGCAATCTCCACATAGAAACAACACTTTTCTAATAGCTGAAGCGTAAATGCAATCGACAAACTGCATGCGTCAACTCCGCTAAGCCAAAGTCGGCTAATGTTCAGTGTGATGATGTTAAGTAGCCTCGTTGAGCCATTTGTTAGCAACCGCTGTTTTAAAGACCCATACAAGTTTCACACGTTCACCAGTTGGGTGCATACTGGCATATTTTATGTCGTAAAACAAATCGTGTAAATATCGTAGGCTTGTATACATCAACCAAAAAACTAATTCAGAAGAACTTTGAACTTGAGATGAAGGAGCTAAGTGCTAAGATGATAATTGACTTCCGGGTTTAGGACTCATTCCTGTAACACTCTATTACCAAATGACTACAAGAGCGTGTACATGTGTGCGTGTGCGTGTGCGTGTGCGTGTGTGTGTGTGTGTGTGTGTGTTTCCATCAATGGGGCTTAAGGGCGGAAAACATCGTTTTGCACTTTGGAGGGGCCCATGGTGCACATAAAAGCATGTGCACGTACATGGACGGACAGGTCTCTCTCTTTCTTTCTTTCTTTCTTTCTTTCTTTCTTTCTTTCTTTCTTTCTTTCACAGTGAGTGAGAACCTTCCGCTGCGATCACCATGGCGATTGCTGCTCAAGTGCATGAAGGGATGTGGGGAAATTGCATAACATTGTATTTGTGTTCATACTAAGTACAACATAAAATCACGTATGTGGTGCGTCACACTACATCGGGATTTTATAAACATTTGCCAGGATGTTTACTAGATTAGTAAGTGTTTTTAAATACGATATATAAGCTCACAAACACACATACACAGTACACACACATGCATACACAGGTTGCCAGCGTTCAGTGAAGGTATGCCAGCTTGGCTGTTATTTCCCCTGACACCAGCCTTTTAAGATCTCAAGGCTCATGAACGCTTCAAATGAAAAAGCAAATTGGATAAAAAAAGACGCAATAAAGAAGCCACTATGGGTTATAAAAGAGCAGCCTCATGGATAGAAGTAGATAATGATGCATCCTAATTAGTGCTCCAAAGGAAGCAGACTATACTGTTGATATCCATCAAGGTATTTGAATAGTAACTGTAACTAATACTTTTTTCTTTTACAGGGTATACAGTATGCAGGAATCCTGAAGTCAAATGTAATACCTTTTAAGACCCTTTCCATACATTTTAAGACCTCATCGCCACTTTGAGTTTTAACCGGTTACCTTGGCGACACACTTTACCTCACATTGACTATATACAGTATTGATTGTCCTTCCTCCTTATCTTCCAACCATTTGGACGCAAACTTGCATTTCCCCATAACGATGTTGTTTAACAACCGGCGTAAACGGACCTTCGCGCGCTATCAAGCAGTGAGCGTGCGATGTCCTGTTCAGATGACGTCAAACCCAACGGGATGCCATAAATAAACTACACAGAATCACACCACACACCTACGCAATGATTACATTCAGGCAGACTGTAGAATACAACCTCTTTGGACACTTTATATACTTATTGGAAACAAGCTACAAAATGTAACACCTTGGAAAATGCCGTTTAATACTTTTTAATAGCCTTAATTTTCACTAAATTGATTGATCAACTTTCAATACTTTTTAAGACCCCGCGGACACCCTGTTGTACTTTTTATAAATCAAAGACAAAGGCTGCGGGCTCATTTAGGCGAGCATGTTCTGCCTTCTCTTTTTCTTCAACTTTAAATAACTTCATGTACCGAGAACTATTTGTATCAAACAGAAGAAACACATGCCCACACCCACACACAGATGCAGTGATCTTTATGTGTTACATGCAGGCTGGCTAACAAGTCTGATCACCATCGCTTTAATGAGCCTGAAGTGTTTGAATGTGTATCAATACCCGAGTGTGTTTTTGTGTGCATGAGTGTGTTCATTAAAAAACTAGAAGAATATACTTTTCCTTAGCTTATTGCTTGAGTAACTCCAATTAACAAACAGCAGATATTCTTCCATTCAAAGGAAATCAACACTTATATCTCTGCTATAGAGCAAATTGTTTGGGGATAAAGTCACTTTCACGCTGGTTGTAAGAAGTCCCTGTTATTGATTTACTCTATAGAGAGCTAGGTGGATTTACAGTAACACAAACTGTCACTCAACAAACTTCTAAGAGAATGAATGCAAACTGATTTAAAGTACTTCATACTTCACCAGAAGGATTAACTAATCGGGGGAAATACATCAGCTCTGAAATATTGGCAAACTCCCAGCTACTGTTTGGGCACAAATACTCACCCAAGAGGTTTTTCCGAGCGACTGCCCAGTGATCCAACCACTTCTCCCAGAGTGCAGTAGGCCTGGCCCAGAAAATCCTGCAGAGTAAGAGAAAGAAAGTAGGGTTTAAAAAAAAGAAAGTGTTTTTGTTATTCATACAAGGCTAGGTCAGATCTGCTAAGGCTGGTCGGATCTCCAAGATCAGTTTAATCAAGGCAATTTGTGTACCTATCAATATCAGCTATATAGAGCTATAATATGCTGATCTGACACTTGGTTTCACACGTATTTGTTTACACATTTAATCACAGCAATGCTATAAACTCTCGTAAACTCGCCCGTGTTCATCTCTCCTCCATTCCAAGTAAGTAGCTATGTGTAGAAAGGGCTGAGGAATGAAAAACAGCAAAACATCGAATGAGCCTGTTTAATTTATGGCACTTGTACCTCATTAATGTGCAATCGTTTAATTTCAGCTCAGTGTTAGTTTTTGTTTTCTGGCGTCTATGGTATTCCATTGTCAAGCATGTGCATTGGATTGATTTTTGTAACCTCTGCAGCTGTAGATCAAGGGCTAAATACTTGTGATTGAACATCCCTACACAGGACATGACATAAATAAATAAACACATTTAATTCTATTTATAAAAGACACAGCCATAAACTCATAAAAAAATACCCTTATCGCTGGTCTCTACAGTGCAACCACAGAGCCATTTCAAATAGCTCCATGTTCCCCCACTGACGGATAATACTGCCAAATAGATCGAGTCTTCCTCCCACCAGCCTTCACACCTGCGCCCTATCCGCTGCGTTCCTGGAAAATTAAACTGCCATCACATACTGAATTTATTCCGCTGATGCTGACTGAAAGGAGGAGACACAAAGAAGAGATCACTCCTCGAAAACTTAATTTATTCGCATGAAGAATTGGCAACCATCGCAATCTGCTTGCTCAGTGAGAATTCAAAATGAAAGTATAAAACAGAGCTACTGTATACACACACACACACACACACACACACACACACACACACACACACACACACACACACACACACACACACACACACACACACACACACACACACACACACACACACACACACACACACACACACACACACACACACACACACACACACACACACACACACACACACACACACACACACACACACACACACACACACACTCACACACACACACACACACACACACACACACACACACACACACACACACACACACACACACACACACACACACACACACACACACACACACACACAATCCCTCTAAAAGCTATTAAACTATTAAAGAAACATGCTGTTGCTAGCCAAATTTCACCAAGGGGCACAGTGCTGAGGCTGTTTGTCATTATTGGACAGCATGTCTAATATGTGACAGAATGGCTCCAGGCAGCGCTAACATAATGGATTACTCGCTCCATTGATTAGCCTCTTCTGTTATTATGTAGCTATATCTATCCATCTACCAAGCTTACTGTCAACCTGTTTATCTCAATGTGACACGTCATAAACACATTTGTTTTCAAAACTGGACTCTCAAAGGTCACCTATTATGCAAAATCGACTTTTTCATGTCTTTTATACATCAACATGTGTAAAGAGATTCTGAAAACCTGTCTGAAAATGAGCTGATCAGATAGTGGGCACTATGATGTCATAATGATTTTTTGGCTTGTGTAACCATTAGCCAATAACCAACCAAGGTAACCCCCCCCCCCCCCTTATCACCTGAATCTCCTCCTAGAGCACCATTGTGTTCTTTTTAACCAAATATCTCTCAGAGGGGCGTGGGGAGTGGTCCTTATTTTCATCTAAAGTAACAGACAGAGAATCATCACTTTTGAAACAGTATTTTTCTCATACTGCCTGTGCTGCAGACCCTCTTTTCAGCCTCTGTCTGAAACCAGAGCCCAGTCTGCTCTGATTGGTTAGCTGGCCGGCTCTGTTGTGATTGGTCAACCTCTTAGAGATGTCCAAACCCATAGACTATAAAATCTGTTGGAACGCTAGCCAATAAAAGCGCGAGTGTTTCGTAGTGATGCCTTTATACTGCAGAGGTAAACAAAGGAGTCCAATCAAGGCGTTTCAGGAGGAAAGGGAATATACTGAAGCTTGATGCTTTTCATCCATGTTCAGTAGCCATTAACAACAACGATGGAAACACTTGCAAACCCTTTATAAAAAGGTGACTTATTCAAAGCTGTTATCAGAGTATTTACAGATTTTTTGATTTGCATTTTCAAATTAATCAAAAAAGATCAGCCTTACTTCTTAACCATCTGCATACAGATATATAAATGAGTGTGACCTCATCAACAGGACATGTTTCTCTCTCCCCCACTATGGACCTGTCCCTCTATATTCCACACTCGTTCTCACTCTGTTCCCAGGTGTGCCTGCAGCCAACAGCTCCCATGTTAAAACACCATCTAATGGATTGGCACTACAAGATTTTTTGCAGGATACAATTTTGAAAACAAGACCAAGATGTACCCTAAGCTAGCTAAGTGTGTTTGATTTTTTTAAATTACTACTGTATTCAGTGTGATGCCGCATAATGATACAGGACAGCAGTTTGCTGTAATAGAGGATAATGGCTAAATAAAATGTGTATCCTGCATGTCGTACTCCATCCCTTCTGAGCGGTACATGGTACTTTAATAGAAAGTGCAGAAACATAACCTTGTCCTGTGCCTCTACACAGGTCCTCAAATACACCTATTATATTAACACCTGGTCATGAAATTGCGATAAAAAAAAGAAAATACTTTTCCCAATTTCACAGGAACATGGTATCATAGAAATGAAATGACTCAATAGGAAAACACGGGAGAAGGGATTGCTCACCAGAAGGCACTCTATCATTTTTTGTTACATTCAAGTTAAATAAAAACAAATACAAAATATTATTTAGAGGCGGATTGTATGCTTCACAAGATTGTTCACTTATTCAGTTCAAAAGCGGCTGTATTATGGTTCTTAGGGTTTTCCTTTCCTGTTGTGTGTTATATATTGGACTCCTTTTTTTACTTCTGTAACATAGTGACATCATTACGTAACACTCGCGCTTCCAATGGCTAGTGCTCCAACATATTGTACATGATAGGCAAAGGGGCGGGATATCTCTAAGTGGTTCACCAAGCACAACAGAGCCGGCCAGATAACCAATCAGAGCAGACTAAGCTCTGGTTTCAGATCGAGCGTGAAAATAGGTGCAGCAGAACAAAATAAAGGACTCTTTGAACATTAAAGCATGTAAACATGTCACAGAAGGGGCCCAAATACAATTATGAAACCTGAAAATGAGCATAAAAGGGCTACTTTATAGACAGATTTGGAAAGACCGAACTAGTAGTCATTTATCTAGATCACATGAACATTACCATCGTAGCAATATTATTGCCCTATAGGACACAATAAAGTATGTTCTATTTTTACCAATTCTGTTATTCTGTAAACTATAAAGAAAACACAAGCACAAGCGCCAGTCTTCTATGTGTTCATCTTTAACAGCTCTACTAATATTTTCGGATTGCTCAAATATATAATTCTCATCTTCTCGAGTCATACATTTCCTATCCGCTACTGTTTCTTCCAATAATCACTGTCTCTTTTGCTTGTGACACAGAGAAAATCATGTGACTTTGTTGTATGATATGTGAGCGGACTGGTTGGGTCGGACGCTGAGAGGAAACACAGTTGCAGTGAGTCACATCAGGGCAGAAGGTGACTCACTGTCTGTGCTCTGCTGACAGGTCAGTGAAACTTCAAATGAGCTTTCCACAGACACAAACATATTGTATACACAGTTTGAGTGTTTTTCTTTCAGGTGGTAGACAAAAGCTGCAGAGTAGAAGGAGGAAGTACTGCACAACTGGCTATTATGGACAATGGAGCTATAAATGTAAATGTCCAGATAACGGTTTGAGTAGAACAGACAGCTGTTGTATAATCTTGTATTGCTTCCTTATCATGTTATTGGTGGTATAACTCTCCTGCATTAGACAGTGACAGTCCTTGTCAGTTTTCACTGTTAGCACCTGCCCAAACATGTTTTAGATATTACGGAAAATCCGACAGATGTGTACACAAGATTATAGACAAACAGACATTCAGGAATCACAACGGTTTAGTGGATGAACGGTGTTAGATTAAAACTTCCCTTTTTGTTGAATGATAGCAGTGCCACCCATCAAAGGAAAAGTTTTAGAAAGTCTGAAGCTAATGTTAGCAGCCAGCTAACAGTAGCAACATTGGGAAGCAGCTAGCCTGAAAAAAATTCACCTGTTTAGTTAATTAATTAACATGTTTTATGGTCAAGTGATCAGAAATAAATGTAAATTATTCCGTAAAAATAGGTATTTTTTATATTAATCCGAAGGTTCGAACTGTTTTATTACTAATTTCCCATGACACAAGTACCAACTGTGCTTTCTCATTCATAGTTACTGATTGAACTACTACTACTGAAAACTCATCTCTTTCGACTCCACTTCGAGCGTTAGAACTATTAACAAAACACTTATATACTAACAAAGGACTGGCTTACCTAAAGCCAGTTGAGTAGCACTTGAAATGTTTGGCTCTATGAAACCTGATGTACTTATATGATTCTGTTTTCTTCAAGGTTGTGTCTTCCTGGTCGAATGTACTTATTGTAAGTCGCTTTGGATAAAAGCGTCAGCTAAATGCAATGTAATGTAATGTAATGTAACTACAATTCCCATGATGCAGTAGGCAGGACACAGGCCTCACTGGCAAGTTATCACATTGTTGTTCCTAATTACCGCTATGCTAATGACTGCTATCAGGGAAATTAGTGTTTATTTCATTTCCAAATTAATTGCAGGCCGTTTAGGGAATGTGCTATTACAGTAGACGATAAGCACACTCATTGTTGTGGCCTCAACAAGTCTAATGGGAGCTAATAACAAGGACGCATACACTCACAGAATACAATCAACAAAAGTGTGGAGGCAAAAATAGACGTAAAACGTACATGTCTTAATGTACGCACAAAAACGGTTTTATTACTCACGTGTTTTGACAGGTTGGCGCTCTTCGAGTCAACATCATACCTTTAGCAAAAAAAAGGAAAAGAGTGAGAATCAGTGCATTAGGAAGTGATGGAGGGTGACAGGAGCTCAGCTGGGAATTTGAGATTACAGAGTAAATCAGTAATAGGGCCAAGCAGCTTGTCAGAGACATCGCACCAGAGGCTCGGGGTATTCCACTTCCCAGCATCACAGCATCTGTTAAACTGACACGAAATTGACTAATTGGCAGTCACACACATAAGTGATAGAAGGACATACAGAGAGAGATATTGTGCCTTTGAGTGTTAGTCACAGGTTGTATTCCTCTATTCCACCTCCAGGTCTCTTACGTGCACTGGCTCCTGCAGTGCAGAGGATACTCCAAAAAAAGTGAAGCACTGAAAAAAGCCATTCACTCAGGTTATTTCACCCACCACTAAAAATGGATTGCCACTTGCAGGAGAACATTTGGAGGAGAAACAAACGGCAGTTTGGATCGTTCATCGTGTGTTGTTGTCATTATTCTAAATGAATCTGATTCCAAAGCATGACTAAGCATTCATAATGATTTAACAATCACATGATAACTTATCGTGAGTGTCTGTGACTTTTTCCACATTCAGAGTGTTTCTCTCGTCATCCACCCTCTGGGAAATGATTCATTATCAAAAAATATGTCCACACTGAGCGACATACAGACAAATCCCCTACTTTTGTTTACTCTGCTTCTCTGCAGTTGTATACAGATGACTGGAAATTAAAAGACAAACAGAACTAATAACTAGAAAAAATGTGAACCTCATTTAACTCATTTGTGGCTCTGCTTCTCATTTGATCTCCTTGTGACGACACAAGATGAGTGTAAAGCCTAAAGCTAGTAGCCTTGTGAGTCTGTACATAAACACAGCTAATGCTAATGCCAGTTAGCTCATGCTAATTTGCGCATGATGACAATGTTGGCAAGTAGACGTTTAAGCACCTTATTTTGCTGTGGTAGCAGGTCAATACTTTGCTCATTTGCACACAAATTAGAAATGCCATAAGTATTAGCCTTGGATTCATCTTCTGGGGAACATAAATGTTCCTAGCAATCCATCTAATAATTGTTGAGATATTGTGGGGAAAAAATCTACTTCACTTTGACACTAGAGGAAAACAAAAGTAGATATATTGATTTTGTTATTCAAAAATCAATACATGCAACCTGCTAGTGGTATAAAGAATTAAGGTGAGGTCCATTACAACAAGTGCAGTTAGTCATTCATATTCAGAGCATACACTGTAGTACTTCATAACACTTTCACAAAGGTCCCATCTTCATGGCCCTTGGGGGAAGCATTTTTTCTTCTGCCATCATCTCAGGTCAGGCCGCTAGTTAGCAAGCGAGGTCCGCGCACACGCAACGCAACAAAACAACAACAAAAAGTCTCCTTTAATGCTCAGTTACATTCAGAAAACCACTCAAAAACAGAGAGCAGAGACACATGCATTCATCCTGTACATTTATCAAGCTAGCCTAACAAATGAGAAGGCATAAAACATTTTTTAAATCACACAAAGATGTTCCTACACATCCTGAGCATAAAAATACGCATCACTAGGAAAATAAAACATTTGTATATGAGGATTTTCACATAACTGCTCTGGAAAACATGCTTGAGCTTTGTGTTAATGTAAAATTTGACACATAAAAACACATTCAAGCTCAACTCCTTACAGTTCTAGCCTCTGTGCTATTTGCAGCAAGTGAATCAGAGAAAGGATAAAAGCAGCTATACAAAGAAACTTCAGGAAGAAAAAGTAACTAAAGTCTCCATTTATGTATGTAATGTATACTGGGTTGTACAATGTCGTATACAAGTGGAGCAGGCAGCGAAGATATGAAAGGTTACAGGCTTCTCTTTTCCCTGAAGGAAATCTGTCTGCTCCTATATCGCACCCGCCATCCCCTGGAACCCTGGTTGTTATGGTTACCATGGCTAAACTGCACACAGGGTTGTCACCATGGCCACACACAATATGTGGGAATGCACACACAAGACATCAGATTTGCTTTCGTCTCGGAGCGGGTCTTCCCACGTGGCCCGGTGACAGAACGAGTATGAGATGTGACAGAGACACCAGCTGGGACTCTGAAACAGCAGCGCACACACAAAGACACAGCATACAGCTAGCTACTCACTGACTGGAAACCTAGACAACGTACGTAAAGATGACCACATCTGCTTTTTTCACCCTATTGATACTGTGACAAATGCCTATTTTTTTACAGTATTTTTCAGTGTACGTACTGTATCAGTATTGACGTACAAGAGAGGTGACAAGATATAATATCTGTGTATATCTTTCAGCTTCTATTTCAATTCTTGGCGTCACATTTTGATTCCATAATCAATTCTCAATTAAAAATGGATTCTAGATTCAGTTTGTATGGATGCTAATTTTAGGTTTATTCCCGTTTACGGTGGGCTTAGAAAGGCGGTGTGGAAAGTTTGTGTGAACATTTTGAGTTTTTGTATTTAAACATTTTTAACTTATTGTGATAATGTAAACAAAAGGCACAAAGTACCATTTATTTATGTACAAACAAATCCGATTTAAAATACATTTATTTTTACATTTTCATTGACTTAAAACAAAGTTTAAAAATATATTAAATAAATTAATAATATTAATCAATAATCATTATTGTTCATTAAAAAAAAGTATTCAAACCCACACAAAGGTTATTTATTAGGAAAAAAACATTTAAGAAATAGATTTTTGAAAGTTGTGATTCGATTTTGAATCTTAGAAAAGATAAGAACCATGATTAGATCGACTGATTTTTTCCACATCACTACAAGATACATGCAAGAAGCACCGCCACCTGAGTGGTAACACAGGTGGATCAGTCTGTTATCAAAGTGAGGAGCAGGTAGTTGCGGGCACACCTCTGCTTTATTTTAAACAGCATTATTTAAAAGAAAAACACAATTGAATCTTCAAAGAGAACATATTACGTTTGCAATTAGACCAGGAACAAGGTATTTCAAATAAAGAAATACCTCTACCCAGACAGGATGCAGAATCACTAATTCCCCTTCAGAGGTCCCGGTTGGGTTTACTGACGTTGCTCCCCTGGTTCATAGATTATAACATAATTAGTCTCCCTCTAATAAAATAAAGCCACTGAAATCCCCTCAGTAATTCAATGAGAGCTGTGATCTGAGAGCAAATTAGGAACGAGAATCCCCTCAAAGGCTGAAAGGCAGTCTGGTGGCTTAATTAAGCTAAAGACTAACCCAGCTAGCGGGGAACGTTCTCACAACTTTGGCTAACGTTACCTACAGGTTCTAATAAGGTTTTAAAGAAACGTTTTAATTTGATGTTCAAAGAACCTTTTTAGGATGTTCATTTTTTCAAATAATGTTCCTATAAGGTTTAAGGTTAACTAAGACATAACGTTTTAACTGCAACATTCAGAGGATGTTTTCAGGATGTTATTGAGGCCTGAGATGACAGAAAGTTTTTTTATAAAACGTTCCTTTAATGTGATATGTTAACAAAGGTGGAACGTTTTGCCTGCAACATTCTAAGGATGTGTTTTTTTTTGTGTTGTTGGGTAACACATTAAAGATGTTCTTTATAAAACGTTCCCTCAATGTTACATGATAACAAATGAAGAATATTCTCCAAGAAACATTCTGAAAATGTTTTCAGGATGTTATTCTTTTTTTATAAAACGTTCCTGTTATGGCAAATATTAACACGGTTATGGTCAATGTCAGATTTATTTCTAGAGCGCTTTAAAAAACAAACTTGTTGCATTTGTTTGAAAAGAATGTTTTAAAAAAAAATCTGATGTCACCATATTTTCCTTTTGAAAAAAACAAACAAGCACGTAATTCATGATAAGCTGTAAGCAGATATGTTTGCGGTGGCATGTGTGAGTTCCCAGCTAGAAATGTTTGTTACCATTCGTTGTTCTAGGAATGTTTTCAGCGGGACGTTTTATACTGAACAAAAATATAAACGCAACACTTTTGTTTATGCTCCCATTTTTCATGAGATGAACTCAAAGATCTAAAACATTTTCTATATACACAAAATAACCATTTCTCTCAAATATTGTTCACAAATCTGAAAAAATCTGTGATAGTGAGCACTTCTCCTTTACCGAGATAATACATCCCACCTCACAGGTGTGGCATATCAAGATGCTGATTAGACAGCATGATTATTGCACAGGTGTGCCTTAGGCTGGCCACAATAAAAGGCCACTCTGAAACGTGCATTTTTGCTTTATTGGGGGGGTCTGGGGGGGGTCCGAAAACCAGTCAGTATCTGGTGTGAGGGGTAGGGTTAGGGTTAGGGTAATGTTGTGAATCGAGTGGCCCATGGTGGTGGTGGGGTTATGGTATGGGCAGGCGTTGGAGACGACGAACACAGGCCACTCGATTCACAACATTACCCTAACCCTACCCCTCACACCAGATACTGACTGGTTTTCGGACCCCCCCAATAAAGCAAAAATGCACGTTTCAGAGTGGCCTTTTATTGTGGCCAGCCTAAGACACACCTGTGCAATAATCATGCTGTCTCATCAACATCTTGATATGCCACACCTGTGAGGTGGGCTGGATTATCTCGGCAAAGGAGAAGTGCTCACTATCACAGATTTTTTCAGATTTGTGAACAATAAGATGTGGTTGATAACATTGTTAGAACATTATGCCCTACTGTTCTTAAAACGTTTTCAGCGGGACGTTTTATTTTGGTTCCCAGAATGTTCTTCTGAAAGGTAGGATAACGTTTTCTAAAAACATTCTTAACATTTTTGGTGATAACTTTCTTAAGATGTATGAGCGCATTGCGACAATGAATAGGACTTATAAAAACGAATTTATGCATGTCAATATTCACTCACATGCACTTATAATCACACTAAGGTATGTAGGCCCACAGTATTCATAATATAATTTGTGTAAAATATCCGAAAATAATCACACTTTTTTCTGACTATAAAGGTTGTGTCTCGTATGTAGGTTCTAACTGTTCGATAAGCTATCTGGCCGTGTGTGGTTTGTGAGGGCTGCGTATACAGTAAACAGTGTCCGCTGTTTATGCATATTGGATACAAATCTTTATTGCACCCTTTAGATTTGAGACCGACAGACATACAGTATAGAGGAACGGACCGACTGTCACTGCCCATCCCTGAAACCCCTGTTAGTGTTTGTATGTGTTTGTTTCTACTGTTGCCCCGGCCCTTTCACACCAGCGCTTTTTCAGCTCCGGCTCGGAGCTGGAGCCTGATAAGCGCCGGTTTTTCCTGTTCACACCGCAGCGGCGCCGGCTCTTAGCTCCGGAATCCGGTTCACTTCCAGCTCCAAAAAATTGTCGGTCTAGAGGCAAGAGCTTCGGAGCTAAGAGGTGGCGTCGCTTACGTCTCTCTTACGTCGAGGCGTGCAGGAAACTAAACCCACCTCCCCTGAACATGGGTCGACTGTCATGCCTGCCTACAAGCAGTAGTGCTTATAAACACACTTTATAAAGTCAGGCAACACTAACCAGGCTTCGTGTGATTCTGTTTATTTGTACCTTACTTTGACCATCCGTTCACTGTTATTGATCATTCTGGAGAGAGGCAGACGTGTTGTTTTGTATTATAGCAGCTATCGGATGGAATCAATACATGGGCTGCACAGGTTGTCGTGTCCGACTATCACAAGTAGAATCATAATAAAAATACGCCGGTAAAATAAATGTGCCTGTAGAAAACGGTTTATGCCACAATAGGATAGCAATAGCAAGTAGTCAGTTTAGCTTCGGTTGCTATGCTAACATCACCCATTTTATACCAGAGAAACTTTCATAACAGCGTTGTGATACCAAACAGCGTCAATTCAGACTGACACACATTCACTTAGGCTAAGGGGAACTGGGGATATGTATCAGCTGCTTGTGTGAGTCGGACAGTGAATACTTTAGAGCGGCCGCTGCAGTGTGAGCTAACCGGGAGCTAACGGAGGAGAATAAACTCCCGTGGAAGAGCAGCCAACACTGCTGCAGAAACACATTAATAAACAATGAACCACGGCACTCTGGAGAAAAGTATAAGGTTGGAGAAGTCGTTATTCAATTTATTCTGGCTTCGTGTGATTAAAAGCAACACGATCATCGACCCGACGCAGTTCCCCGTTGTTGTGAGCGCCGTAATGCCGTTGGGGAGCAAATCAGCGATGTAAACGGTGACCTCATGACGCAGCAGCGGCAGCACCAGTCGGGTGCTGGGCGGTGTGAACAGAGCGGGAGCAGAAAAGGGAAACCGGAGCTGAACCAGAAAAGCTCTAGCTCGGAGCTAGAAAGGGAAAAGCGCTGGTGTGGAAGCCGCATGTGTGTCTCTCTCTCTGCCTGCTGGTCTACTCGACACGGCTGGGAGAAATCTCCAATCAACCACACCTGCAACCTGCTCATCAGCCACACTATGAAAGCCTGCAGCCTGCACTCATTCCCTGCCGGATTGTTGCCGTGAACGGTTTGTTGCGTGCCGCTCTAGCTTTTTACCAGCATATTCTTTGACAACTTTGCCTGCTTTTGCCTCACACTAATTTGTATGTCTCTCCCAGGAGGAATCCAAGGCCTTCCACACTCCCAAGACCAGCCAGGCCTCTCTACCCTGGAACAACTGTTTCCCACTGCTGCCATAACCAACCTCCACTCCCAGCTCCCCTTTTCTAATAAACAAATGTTACTTTCACCAACTGATTCCGAGTCTGATTCTGGGTCCCCTCCAGTACATGTGACATCGACAGTGACTTGTACTAGCTGCTGGTCGTATTTATAAAAAAAAGAAAAGACTTCTGATAAATCGGAACGATAAAGCACGTTATCATACTCTAAAATAATAACATTCTATTAAAAAAGTCTAACTTGCAGCTGAAAACGTTTTAAGAATAGTAGGGCATAATGTTCTAACAATGTTATCAAAAACATTTCAAGAAGGTTATTACCAAGCATTTTAAGAATGTTTTTAGAGAACTTTATCCTACCTTTCAGAAGAACGTTCTGGGAACCAAAAGAAAACTTCCTGCTGAAAACATTCTCAGAATGTTTTTAGAACCAAAGGTTTCTAGCTGGGAACTCTCCTACAGATAGCATCTTATGCTGCTATTAGGGGTGTAACGGTTCACAGAAGTCACGGTTCGGTTCGTACCTCGGTTTGGAGGTTACGGTTCGGTATGGGTTCGGTACAACAAGAAAAAGCAAAAAAAGTCCCAAATGCATAATTCCAGGTTTGTTGTTATTTATGTTTGAACAGTAGTGCAAGTTTCAGTTTAAAAATAAGGAACTCTGACATTTTGAATAATTAACTGTATTAAACAGTTAAAAACAAACCACAAACAGTACCACACACTCAGATGGCCATATTATCTATAATGGCTGATGTCAAACAAAAAGGTTTCATCAAGCTGTAAAACTAAAAAGAATGTCTTGAAAATATTACATCATAAATAATATTAGAAAGTGTTTCAAGACCGCATAGTCGTTGAAAAACATATGCCAAAAGCTTCCGTTATTTATTTTGGTCTCATGGCTTTCATGTCTATTGGTTTATCAAAAACAGCGGGGATCAGCTGTTGAACTGCTGTTGTCTTTTGCCAGGCTCCGGTGATTGGCAAATCTGTATGATGCCTTCCGATATGATTTAGCATGTTTGGCGTGTGTTGCCATTAGCATACCGCACCGCTATCGAACAACGCCGACACACCGTCCTTGTCCGATCCACCACTCGCACTCCATCGTTATTGTAGTCCACAGGGAACCCAAAATGTTCCCACACAGCTGATTTAAAAGAAGCAGGTGGGTTCTAGCTCCTGTGTGTTATCTGAAATCGCCATACTAACTTTTCTTCTTCTTGTATTTTGTTCGTTTTGTTAAAATATACCTTTATGTAGTAAGGTAATCACTAGTAGGCTACAGGATGAGGGATTTAACTAGGTGAGTCACAAGTCTTTACTGATGTGCATTTTGAAGGCATCAGCACATTCACAGCAGGTTGTGATTTAGTGCCACATAGTGCTGACACAATGTGTTCCATCTCACTACTGATATTTTGAAACTCAACACAATTAGCTTTTTAAGTAATTAGGGTCTCTGTTACTTAAGTAATGTGGATAATTGCTTTGTGGTAGGCATGCCAATTCCACAGTCTGCCAAATAGCAGCAGTAAATGCAATGTTGGACAAATACCAACATTGCTTTTAAAGCAAGCAACATAGTGAGCATTGCAATGCATCTAACAAATTAGGTTCAGTCTGAGCTGTCAAGGCTGAAGAGAAACATTGGAAAAACCTTTTTTATTTATAAATGTTGGCATGACTATAAATTAGATTTGCTGAAAACCACTTTTCAGATTTGCATTAATTATTTCTTTTATAAGCCTTTATAAGGTGGAATTAGGAGTTTTCAATTTACGTATATAAAGAGTACATTAGAGAAATGTAGGGAACGGAACTGTGTTTGATAAAAAAACACCATATGTTTGCCTACAGTATAAATTAAATGTGAAAGCAAATCGTTTTTTTCTTCTTTGCAGGTGACATCTGGAAACGTTTGTATTTTTAGGAACTAATAATGTAAAATAAATGCTTACTGGAAGAGGCTTCAAACATTGAGTAAACCAAATATGAACTCTTAAACCGACCTTTACAATCCTGGAGACAGGATCAATCCCTGCAAATATTACAACCATATGATGCGCAAACATATACATACTAGGGCTGTATCGTATTTTAATCTCGATTTTGGCTTGCAACGTAATCGAAATAAAACGATTATTTTGCTGCATGCGCATTCGCCCCTCCTTAAAAGCCCTCGCGGCTAGATTGTGAGTGACAATAGTTGTGTGAGTTCAGCGCGAGCGAAGATGGCAAAACAAGAGCAACTCATGAACAAAAAAGGTAAAACGAATTCCGCTGTTTGGAAATACTTTGGGTTTCACCTGTTTGGGGCTCTCTGCTGGAACTGCTACCTCCGCGACCCGACCACGGATAAGCGGGAGAAGATGGATGGATGGACGGACGGACGGACACACACACAAACACACACACATACACACACACACACAAGCATTACTTACAAGTCAAATCGCAGGTTCTGTCGCTCTTCAAAAAAGTAGTCCAAAATGAATTTCCGCACAAAGTCCGGGTTTAGCGTGTTGTCTATCACCTCCGTTCTCCCAAACTAGATAAAGAAAGGAAGATAAAGACATAAGAATACCATATGGATACATTTAAAAATTTACAGTTTTTATAGGCACTTAGTGAGGTTGTAATATCTCCTGAGAAGAACTAATCTCCAGCAGGTTATCTCTCTTCAGGTGACTCATTGGGGCAGAGGTAGATTATCTACACAGCTTTAAAGTAATGAATTCAGAGCAGCTGAAGCATCAAGTCAATGGGGGTCAAGCACATTCCCAGTTTGGCATTTAACTTAGCCTATTAATAATGCATGCAGATGATGGGCTACTCAGAACAATGAATACATGGGAATGATTGAAGCTGCCCCCTGGTTTCCATTGGTGAATATTCATCATTGTGAAAGTGGATGCAGTACAGCCTAATGAGAGTGCACACATGCACACATTGTAGTTACTGGTTGTGGCCACAAGCACAAACAAAGTCTAGTTATTTATCATAATTAGTTGACATTAAATTGTAAAATTGTCTAGAGGTCAAATAATGATATTACTTTATTTGTGTTGCACATTGTGATTGTTTAAATATTTGATCTACAGTTTATACAATAGGATGTAAGCTTTATTACTGTTAACTGACAGGCTTCTTTAGCCATTATTAGCAAGTTAGGTGAGTTAGCATGCTAGCAACCTAACATATGGTGGTTAGCATCATGCCTGCTAAACATGAGAGTTTCATCATTGTCTTATGTGAACTCCTTTTGGACTCAAAGTCAGACATTTTACCTGGAACGCCCCATTTTATCTGTGAACATGTTGTGCTTGTATTTTATCACGTGGTATTGCTAACAATGGCTTACATGGCTAGAACTGGTATTGCTAACTGTTCTGACTTGTTGAACAGGAATGTGGTCAACTTGGGTGTGACTAGGGTTGCCAACCGTCCCGTATTAGCCGGGACGTCCCGTATTTGAGCCAAAAGGGGCGTGTCCCGTACAGGAATTTGTTTGTCCCGGATTCCCGTGTAAAGGGAAAAATAAAACATATTTTTCTGTTTGCGCGCAATGCAGTGTGTCTGGCTGCGTTCCTGTGTGTTTGTGTGCTGTATGCGAAGGGCACTAGGACCGCTCAGTTGACAGGGCAGGCACAATGCTCGCACGTGTGTGTGTGAGATTTTCTCCGGTGGGCCGCAGGCGCGGCATCATTGTTTGTGTGGCATGTCAGCCTGTTCAGTTGTGTGGGAAAATGAGCGCTGCCGGTGGAGGAGGTGATGATGAAAGAGGAGAAGAGAGAGAGGATGTGGTTCTGGGCCCTGGCCCTTCTAAAAAGAAAAGACTTGTGTCTTACAACAAACAGTGGAAGAAAAACACAGTTGGGTAAAGCCCGTGAGTGGAGATCTGTCTCGGGTCTTCTACGTCTGTGTGTGTGTGTGTGTGTGTGTGGGTGTGTGTGTGTGTGTGTGTGTGTGTGTGTGTGTGTGTGTGTGTGTGTGTGTGTGTGTGTGTGTGTGTGTGTGTGTGGTGTGTGTGTGTGTGTGTGTGTGGTGTGTGTGTGTGTGTGTGTGTGTGTGTGTGTGTGGTGTGTGTGTGGTGTGTGTGTGTGTGTGTGAGAGAGAGAGTCAGTCAGCTGATTGATGGGAAATTGCTGGGAAAATGGTTGGTTGAAGGATAACATTAAGTCTAATAATGATGTACCGTGCATGTTCACATCATGTATACTTTGCATTACTTAATACCATTTTTCAAATATTTATTTTTTAACATTTTGGACAAAATAGCCAATTGTACATCGAGGTGCCCAGATGTCCCTATAGTGCCCACCTATCCAATTTGAACATGCTGATGTAAAATGTGATGTAGTAGCCTAATGCAGGTGTAAGACCATTGTGTTTGTATTGTGTTATAGGTATGCATAGTTTTCTATGCATTTTGAGGGTTTTGGGGGGTTTGACCCCTCGAACCCTAGGGGGCTGGCTCCCCCAAAAGAATTAAATAACATAACCCTAAAACCGAAATAAAGTAACAAAAAAAAGTAACTAAATCCGCCAGAAACCCGAAAATCTTCGCGAGCGCGGGGGACACATGCCTGTCCCCCGTTTTTCCATTTCTGGAAGTTGGCAACCCTAGGTGTGACAGTGTTCCCAGCTATGATTACGACTGATGGTAAATGGAACGCAGCATTAGTCAGCTTGCCAGCATGAAGAAATTAGCATTTAACTTAAAGCATCACTGTGCAAAACCACAGATAGCAACTAGCATAGCTGTTGCCTCTTATTGTACCATGGCTAGCTTGATAATCCTAGCCAGAAGTAGATTTAGGAGTAGATAAAGATGCATTTGAGTGTGTTTCCACTGTTTGTTTGTTTTCACCATTGGTCTGTTATAAAATCCAAGTTTATAAGGATAACATGTGGATAAATGTTGGCAATGAAACATAAAATCACTCTCTTTAACACTCACCTCTCTCCACTCCTTGTTGCCCATGCCTTGTGCATAAAGAACACATACTGTGGATACAATTAACACATAAGATAACATTTAGAAACATGATAAAACCCATGCTAATAGCATAGTTTTCCAGCTTTATTATTCTAAAAACCTTCCTTATTATCAATATACTACCTGACAACTGTACGAAAGGATTGTAAATTATAAAATCATATTATTCAAATGGTGGCTAAGCTAACAAAGGACAAATGAATATTACTCTCATATAACACCAAGCTAAAAGTGTTATTGGATCCATCCGAATATGCCTAACAAGCCATAAATGCAGGAATTATGAATAATAAAACTACATCAAAGCACCTAATAGTTTTATTCATGAAGCCCAACATGTTTTCTGTCTTAAGATGGTGAAAGACATCATTTGCGAACATTATCCAATTTCCCCTTAACAGGACAATTTAATAAAAGGAAAATTACTGAGCTCACTCATCATACACTTAATTTCTCGAGGCCTTTGATGTGCCTCTCAGATAAGTGCCAGAAAGGATGTAAAAATGAGAATGTACACACACACAAACACACACGATATTTCGTCTTATTTCTGGGGTCTGATAGATAATATATTTCTGGGAAAAGATACAAATAAAACCAATTATAAAATAGAAAACTTCTTTGCGGTTTTGGATGCTTATGTATTGAAGGGTTTAATGACTCAATCCTGCTTGTACCTGAAAGCAGTGGTTGCGTTACAATTTCTTGTTGTCTGTCAAATTTGATCACTGCTCTCATTTTAAATGTATTTTTACCAGCAAGTGACAGATCCAGGGTATCTCTATGTTTCTCATACATCCTTTTATTTCCTCTTTTCTTTCCCTCCTTGCTCTTTCTTGCTGTCAGTCTGGTTCATATCAGGAGTCCGAAGACACCATGCTCAGCATAATCGTGATCACCACTCAGCAAGCCCTCCTCCTCCTCCACTCATCCTCATCATGTTACCGTAATTCTCGTCATCGTGTTTATCTCTGCCATCATTATCATGGAGTCGTTTATTTATCATGCTTTTTATGAATATGCTGACATACTATGTATTGCAAAAACAGTGTGTGTATTAGTGGGTCCAGTGATCTACTTTATACTTCAACCAATATTGTACTTTTAGCTCCACTACATTTGTCGGACAGCTTTAGTTACTTTGCAGATTCAGATTTTAAGCCAATATAAAAAGTAAATCAACTTATAAATGAAAACTGACATTTATTAGAGGGTAAAATATCCAGCAGCAGTACATAAAGTAATACAAAATAGCTCTACATGTACCAACTGTGATGAAAATATTAATGTATCAATAATCATAATCTAGTCATTTTGATGCCATACCTTTTTACATTTACTTCAGTAAGATTTTGAATGTACGACTTTCACTTATAATAGAGTACTTTTTAAAATGTTGTACTGCTACAAATGAAAAGTATAAATAAAAGTAGGAGCCATTGATATCTGTTCATACATCCTAAGACACACCCACACACACATGAAGCTAATTAACTATATGATAAGTTCTCAAATAATTTTTTTAGATGCCAAATAAGTAAAGTAATTTATCAAACAAGGGGGTTATTGATCTTCCCTAACCATAACCCGATCTTCTCATCTGAGTCTATAAAAGGAAGCGCAAAAGCTATTTTCAAAAAGGTTGATCTCCTCCTTTAACTAACAGCCTTGTTACTAATATAATTATTATAATGATTTTAACTGCTGGATAAAGAGGAGAATTAACACAATTTTTTGTAAATCCATAGGTCGAAGCCTCTTAATTGGCTCATGCATTAGTCACACTTCTCCAGCAGAACTTACGCATTTAGTGAGAAAAAAACACTTAAGGAGTGACTCATGACTACATACTGCTACACAAATGACCTTCGACTGGTCCTTTTTTAATTCGTCCTGCCATTTAATCCCATTATTTTTTTACTTGTGCACGTCTGTTCTTTTTACATTCATTTCCAATTGTACCCCTTGCATATCTAATCATATCCTTAACTTCTTGTTGAGCAATTTTTGAAATGATAAAGAGGCAATCATGCAGAGACACACAAACTTGTTCACCATGGGTTTATAAGACATACAGATATGTGGTGGATCTTACTTGGGTCTGATTTGGAGAAGGTGTCCCTATCCAGCAGGTTTCTATGGAGACACAGAAGGGAAAGTGGTCAGAAACACAGCTTCGTTGTCATCCAAATTTGGCAGCGAACGCATTTTAACACGCAGACTATTCATGGACTCTTGAATATGATTCAGCACGTTAGCATCACACTCTGTTTACAGTATCCCACTGAAACTCTTATCCGAGGTGGTAGAATACAAAGAACAAATATTAATAGTACTATGTATAACAGCCAGATTATCTTAACAAGATTTTAAAAAGCATAAGACTATTTATAGCTCATGAAAATAACATATGAACAATAAACTGATGCTACTAGCAGGTGTTACCTTGCCTTAAAAAGGTCTAAAAGCTAAATCAACCTGCTCCCATAAAATGTGTATTCATTCACATCTGAAAATAGTCCCAAATTGAAATCCTTCCTTATCACATAGACAGCAACAGCCCTGCGCAAAAAGCTTTCACCTACATCCACTACAAATCTTCAGGACATGCATGAAGTGCATTCAACTAACCAGACTTTATTTATCGGTATTCAGATTTGAAGGCTCCCCATTTCATGCTTGAGAAACATAACGTCTAAGATCATAGAGTGATATATTGTTCAGCTCTCTGTCTAGGCAAACCATTGAGATTCAGCTAAGATGAACATTAATAAAACCGAAGAATTTATGTTCGCCCTCAGAAAAACGAAGGAGAACTAGAGGGAACCAAATGGCTTGATACGAAAGTGGCATAAGACCTTGTCATTAATCCTGATTTGTGAATAATGAGATGAATGATGGTGGTGATGATGGCACCTAATGATCTAGAGAGGAGAGAAGAGAGGAGAGGAGAGTGTTGAGATCTCCATATGAAGTGAATACTTAAAACGAAAGTTAATTATAAATCATATATGAAGTGAATACTTAAAACGAAAGTTAATTATAAATCATATATGATCAATCATATTCTTGTATGAACCCATAATGAGAATGCTTCTTGATGGTTTTTGAATATGTATGTATGCTTACAATTGTAGTTGTTGCTGTTTGATAACTTTGCGTTTTAAAAAGAGGGTGTTTGTATGTTGAATACTTAAAACGAAAGTTAGTTATAATCAAATATAATCAATTATATTCTTGTATAACCCACAATGAAAATACTTCATATTTTAGGTTTTTCTATATTTACAGCATAAACAAAACACCAGTGGTTTGTTAAGTTGAGTGTAAGACCTATAAATGATTTATGCCTTACTCTCTGATAAGAGAGTAGGCAGTTTTTTCCCTCTCCTCTCACAAGGGTGCACAAGGAGGGGGGCTCCTGACTTAAGGAGAAACACATTGAGGCCTCAAAAAGGTGATTATGTCATAGCCATAGAAAATGTCTAGTCATGTTTTTTTTTTTTTTTACACAAACATGGGAAGGTGTGTCTTAGGCCATAGCCAATAGAAGATGTTGGTTGGGAATAGAGGAGGTGTTTTTTGGGGTTTCGATCCGGTTTTTTGAGCATAAAGAGACTGGTTTTTTGAGAGAGCGCGAGAGAGAGGGCGAAACCCCTGGTATACTCTCTCCCGGTAGGCTCTGGCCCTCAGGGCTGGGTAAATGGCTCTCGGTAAGGTTATCCTGGAAGGCGTTATTAGGACGTACGGGAATCTTAGACCTAATAGCTTTATTTAGATCTATCCTGGAAGGCGTTAATAGGACGTACGGGAATCTTAGACCTAATAGCTTTATTTAGATCTATCCTGGAAGGCGTTATTAGGATGTACAGGAATCTTATAACCAATGGCTTTATTTAGATCTTGGATAGATGAGAAATATGAATTAAGGTTTTAGATAAAAATATAACCCCAGCATGATATGTTGCGTATGATTATAATGTGTTAAAAGGTAAAAACCCTGTATTAGTTTTGGACCTATTTTTCTTCAAATAAACTGATCTCACCTGTTGAATTGGGACAACTAAAAGAAAATCTGTGCTCTCCTCTCCTGCTTCAAAGGTAAGACTGCACTCTGCCACACACACTTAGGTAGGAACACACTCCATTTACTGATATCAAAATCCTTCGGGATCCCTTAAACAGATTAAAAAAGAGTTGTCTGAATAGAAACAGCAGTTAATTGAACCTGGTTCTTCGGGGAAGTTAATAGAGGTGAGATCTTGCTGACGTTGGTGGATCTGAGCCAAGCAGTAAACTTACATAGACTCAATAACTTCGGTCAGGTCAATTAGTAGGTCAGAGTAATTTACCGGAATAAATTATCAGGACCTCGCCGACTCTAAACAAGAGATTGGGATCACTAACGTGTCAATGAGGTTAAATCACTCTAGCGTGTTAAGGGCCTCTATAAGAATTAAGAGTTGCTCTCCAATCTACTTCCTTTCATCTATTTCAAGTGCCCTGCTGTATCCTGCTGGTGGAAGGGATATGACAATGTGGGTAATGATTCCTGTCATGCTATCAATTCAAGGGAAAGGCTGTGACACAGAGAGAAGTGTTCCTTCTTCAGCTCACTTATTTCTCTTGTGTGAACTTATGAACACTTCCAATGGCATTTTCCTCTCTGAATGTTTGTTTTCTATTTTATTTCTATTCTTGTTTATTTGTTTTATTGTAAAATGTCTTGTCTTTTATGCTGCTTCAACAAAAACAATTTCCCAAATTGGGATCAATAAAGTACCATCTTATATTGTTCTCAAAACAAAAGCCCATCAGTCTCTCCTGTTTGTTGGCGACTTCTATGCGGAAAAACCCCAACTCTTGTAATCTGCCACATCACTAATTTCAAATTTTGCGATCTGCACAATGATTTCCCGCCACATTTGCAAGACTTTCAAGAAACTTCAAGTGTTTGGCTAAGGTTTACAGTTTCTGGTCATTTACTCCCACAATTCAAAGACAAAGACAAAGACAAAGACAAAGACAAAGACAAAGACAAAGACAAAGACAAAGACAAAGACCACACACACACACACACACACACACACACACACACACACACACACACACACACACACACACACACACACACACACACACACACACACACACACACACACACACACACACACACACACACACACACACACACACACACACACACACACACACACACACACACACACACACACACACACACACACACACACACACACACACACACACACAACACACACACACACACACACACACACACACACACACACACACACACACACACACACACACACACACACACACACACACACACACACACACACACACACACACACACACACACACACACACACACACACACACACACACACACACACACACACACACACACACACACACACACACACACACACACACACACACACACACACACACACACACACACACACACACACACACACACACACACACACACACACACACACACACACACACACACACACACACACACACACACACACACACACACACACACACACACACACACACACACACACACTAGAGAATCTGTTGCCTAATAAGAAAAGATAAGGCCTATTTCTTGATCTACACTTACACTGCCATCGTCTTTCATTTGACATGGACATGGAAAGATGAATGCACACTTAAATGTTCGAAAAATAAAAGCTATAATGCAATACTGTGACACTATTCGGGTGGTGTCATTTCCCACTCTGCACCCCCACAGACACTTAGTCTGTGTGGTACTCTTAGGAACACGTGAAAATACACTTTCTCCCATCGAGAGCAGATTTGAAGCAACACACTCTCTGACTGGCTGCTGCTCAGAGCACATCACACATGGTGAAACTCCAAATGGGCTCCCCCTGTGCATGTGTGTTTGAGTGAATATGTCATTTGTGTGTGTGTGTAAGACACATTTTCAGGATTTCCACTTCAGCGGATAATTTGAACGAGTCATGGCTCTTTTCCTCTCGCTCCTTTCCTCTTTTCATCCAGAGGCAGACCATTCGAGGCACAGGAATAAAGCTACTACACTAAAATAGTGTGTTAGTATATTTAGCAGTTTCCAAAAAATTATATTTTCTCATACGAGTATTATGGAAATTTGATTTAATGCCTTTAAATAAATATAACACAGCCTCATTGAGGCTTTCATATGTTTCAATCCATCTCAATCTTCCCTGTAAGAAAAACAACCTACTGCTGCACCTAACTTTTTCTGGTTATGCTGTGATGAATTACTTTAAAAAATATTTAAAAAGGCAGCCTATGACAATCTGATTTTTCTGCAAAAGTACACATCACATGGTAGTACCCTTTTCCAAGTAGTCACCTATACAGCTCTTAAGCGATTAAGTGAAAACATGTACAAAGCACCCCCATTATGTGATTAGGATGTTAGAGATTTCAATGGCATACCATTTCTGAGAATAGCATATCAATGTCTTCTGATTTTTATAAGAATTCTTCCACATTTCCTGGGAATTCTTGAATGGGTTTCATCTACAGAGAAATTGCAGATTTATTGCACAATAAATTAGGTATGCATACATGCAGTAGGTAGGTCACTATGGACAGTGCTTGAATTGGAATGAAAAAGGTGCCAGTACTCTAAAATCAGCAACTTTTTCAAGTCAATTTTATATATACAGCCCACAAACAAGAATTTGGCTACTATAATGCTGGTGGGTTTGTCTCTTTACTACTGTATATTTTAGAAAGGTTTACTGTACTTAACATTTTTTATGATAGGCAGCGGATATGGCTAAAGCTCAGTAAGGTCAATATTAACTGAAAATATAGCAATCAAAGTCTAGATCTTCTGCTGAAGACACATGAAGCAGAAACCTTTCAGGTGAGAGCCCCTCTGGTGGTGTTCAACATTAATGACAAGGAAACAAAGCTCTGGTCAGAAGCATTTTTTATAAAAAGCTTTAACAAAATTAAGTATTTCTGTACATTTTGAATGCAATCTAACTTTCCAACTCAGAAAACGAAAAACGAAACAGTGCCAAAAGTCTTCTCACATGGCTGAGCTGCTTTGCAATATACTTCACCACTGAAGAATACAA